CCCCAGCTCCTGGCTGAGCACCGCTGGCTCCCGGCCCGGCCCAGCACCACTGGGGCCTCCCTCCCTCCCTCTTTTCCCGGACATGTCCGGCTTTTTGGGATTTCCTCCCGGACGGGGATTTGAGGCCCCAAAAGCCGAACATGTCCGGGAAAATCCGGACGTATGGTAACCCTAGTTTATTCCCTCTAAAACAAACGTTCATATAAAACTGTAAATTAAGCAATAACAATCCAACTGCAAGCACATTTGTCCACTGGAATTTCCTTGTCCCTTATCTGTAATGAGACCTGGAGGCAGAGGCACAGAATAAAATGTATTTCTCTTATTAGTTGAAATCATACAGTCCAGATGGCACAACCTGTCCTGATGGCCTGTCCCCTACAGTCACACAGGGACTGGAAGCTATGAGACAAGCACATCCGATCTCATTTTCTCATTATATAATCTTTGGTTATATAATGTAGATATGCTATTAAGGATAAAAAAGGGTTTTTTAATAAGCAAAATATAAAATGTTACTCCAATATTTAAAGCTCTTCTGATAAACTGTTATGTGTTAGTTTGGGGTAATACTATTGTATGGGAAAACAGAAGTAAGACTCAGGATCGCCATTATTTTTAAATGGGTTTTACGCAATTCTCATAGTTAAAGTCTTTCCTTGATGACTTTTGAGACGTTTACAATGCAAGAAAGCTGAGTGGAGAGCTTGTATTTTGAAATGATATTTGTTTATATATCCCAGACCTATCAGAAAAGATGAAACAAAAGAAAATACTAGTTTAAGCAATTTGTATGTCCTGAATTAACCTAATTTGTCTGTAATGTACACTATATTTGCCTAGAAGAATTTAGCTCAGTAGATGGCACTCTTACATTATAATGCAAAATAGATTTCAAGCACTTTTACAATGAGAAATAAATATGAAAATTGTTACTGTAGATTTGACAAAACTCAATATCCAAAATTTAAATCACAAAAGGCCAGACTAATTTAATATATTATTTCTACTACTTTCCTTAGTCATTCACACAACTGGCTTAAAATAATGATGCAGCTCTGTGAAGTGATCTTTATCCAAATATTTATATCACTTGACACAAAATATGTATCTGAATTGATATAGGGATATATAAGGATATAATTCCAAAGACCCAGCATGCCGAAATGCTGGCATTCAGATTCCACCCCCCCTTTCTAGAATTCCAATAGGTTTTCATTTGAAACAGAACTTAAAAGCAAATAGATGTTAAAACATAAAAAAATGACACTTTAGAATTCAAGTGACTTGTGCAACATTATTTTGTGCTGTCTACTTCTCCTTTTTCTCCTACTATAATTAAAACTCACCCTGCTCCTCCACATAAATAATAGCAACAAATCAAGTTCAGTCCAATATAGGCCTTCCACCTTTAGACTTGATTTTATATTACACGAGATCCTCGTCTGTCCAAAAAGTGCATCTTTTTTAGTGATCTTTTCTTCTGTGTCGGGTGATGTGAACTTCAAAGTATTCAACACAATCTTGAGGTCTGATTACAGCCTCTGAATACTTCTTAAAAAAAAAAGTCTGTTTTTATGGGTTTTTTTTTTTTTAAGATAGCTTTCATGGATTTAGAAAAGACACACCACTGGGAATGGTGTTACTTCATGGTTCAGTACATCATGGCACCTCTCCATAACATAGCTAAGAATATCAGACAGGACTTTTATTTACAGAAACTTGATGCCACTTCCAGAAAAATATATAACAGATAAAACAATATTTCCTGAATGTCCTGAATGTTTAAAAGATTCCAATTATTTTCTCCCCAGCAATATGGTGGTCCTTCCAAAAATGAATTTTACCTGGCCTGGTTTGTATGAACCATAAATGATACCAGTGAGAATTTGGAATCATGTTGTTTTCCCTTGTGGCATACTGCTCAGCTGTGTAGAGACTCTACCACTCCTGTTTACTCACAAGCCAATTTGCTGTCAAAGCTGGAGAGGGCAATAGCAAAGGCTTGTAGTGCACACATTGGGTAGTTGTAGTCCATGGTGAATACATCCTCAGCCACACGGCCAAACTGCATCACTATATAGTCAGCTGTAATAAAAGTCATAAGTGTTAGTTTTGACTACAGCCCTATTAAATAAAGGTGTGTTCAATACCAACCCACAGCCCCCCAAACCCTGTGATAGATGGATTGAATGCTATAACATGTACTCAGACAAGTAGTCATGACTTCAATGGGACTATTCATATGAGGACAATTTGAATGAGGACAAATTGCAGGAATAAAGTCCTTATGTGTGTTTTCCTTTAAAATTTTAGCCAGGTAACCAATGGGTTTAAAAAAAAAAAAGTCAGGCTGCTATTCCCTTGCATTCATAAGCATGAAATTCACCTCTATGTAGAAGGCCAGCACAAGACTTATGCATAGATCTTGGGTTGATCCTCTGCACAAGGGAGAATTTCACTCATACCAGACAGGATCTAATTCTGCTCCCATTGATTTCAACAGAAGCAAGGTCAGGCAGGCAGAGGATTGGGAAAAAGAGTGTGAGAGGGGGTGAATACGGGTGTAACTGTGCTGCCTTTCTGCGACTGTGAATGTACACACTTGACCGAGAAACACTGCAAAGGTAATTGTGCAGTGTGAATTTCAGCGTCACTTAGAAGCCTTGGCAAATGTTTAAAATACCATATAGCTCTCAGAGGCTGGCACTACCAATTCCCACACATGATCTTCACAATGTTGATCTTACCAAGCCTTCAGCACCCTCACTGGCCTAGACAAGACACTGGTCCGATACATCTGCATCTTCCTTGTGTCATCTACACCTGAGTTATGAGAGTGCATAATGGGGCAGATTCTGGCCCCACTCACCAAGTGCACACAGAGGGCATAGAGGGGCCAGAAAAGAGCCACAAATGGTTGAAGTAGAATTTCCCCAGCAAAGGATTAATGCAGGCCCTTATGTAAAGGAGTGTGCTGGGGAAGCCCAGGGAATAGCACAGTGCTGACTGCTACAGGGAATCCTGGGTTGCTGCCCAGTCCATAGGTAGGCGGGAGGAGGCTGCTGTAAATTAGCATAGCCGGCAGTGCTGCTCAGTTTACACTGGGGGGGCCTAACCAGCCTCTGCAGCAGCCTAGAAATCCAGAAAGTAGAAAGGTGGCATACAGCAACTTTTACCCCTACACTGCATCTTCCATGCTGCACCTTTCAGGGAGCACAGCAAAAATCTGTCCCAGTAGGTGTAAAACACGATCTGATCTGAATTGTCCGGATAGAATCAGTGTTATAGTGTGTACAAAACAAGTGTTGTTTCTAATCAGTTTAGCTCGGTGATCTACACTTACGATCATTATCGTGAATAATTTGGAAGTTTTTCACAGAGGCCTGTGTGACTCGACCATGGAAATTTAAAACATAGGACTGGGTGTCATCATTCCAGACCGGAGTTTTGTTATGCAGCTCAATGACGCTCTCTGTATTTTTGTTCTGCCATCTTGCAAGAAGCGTTTCATGTTCCTGCATACATCACACACACAAACTTCAGGTTAGCACTCTCTGAGGGGAAAGGGGATTAACAACTTCAACCTTACCTCCTTAATTGTAACTTCCACTATCACAGTACAAATAAAAACAAAACAAAGGAATGTAAAGTATTTTAATTGGAATTGGGAAGCCAAATCCTATAGGCACCTTTGAAAATCCCAGTCCGTAGCTGATCTCTGAAATGTATTAGTATTGATTATTTGTAACATGGTAGCGCCTAGGAGCCCCAGCCACAGACCAGGACCCAATTGTGCTAGATGCTGTACAAACAGAACAAATCTCTAACATCCAACCCTTCAGAAGTAGAAACATTACCAATCTGGGGGAAAGAGGACATCCTTAAATAATTTTAATTGTTGAGACACATTGTGACTTACGTTACGTGGTCGGATAGAAACTCTTTCATGGTCCATATTCATTCCTGGTATGACCACACTCATTTTGCGAGGTCCTTTAAATCCCAAGACATTTGTTTCCTAAAATTTTTTAGAAAAAGTATTTGTAATGCTTCTTATTTTTAATCTTGGAAGTTAACTTCTTTAGCCCAGAGGATAAAGCAGTGTCATCAGCCCATTATGAGTCCACTCAAAAACCATCTGAATTGCCCGCATTCATCAGCACTGTCAACCTCTCTATCTTAACAGTTCTGACAACAGGAAAAATGGAAATATAGTAGTCTGACATAAAGCCCTCTGTGACAAAGCTTCTAGGACAGGCTGCCAGCTACATTAATGCAGATAAAAAATCATTAATTGTTGAAAACAGATATGAAATAACCAGAATGTCTGGGTACCACTAGTTATCACAATAAATTGCGGTTATAATTTCATAACTGCTAAATGCGCACACACATTTTAATGAAGAGAGAAAGGAAACAAAGAAACCTAGCTTCCTTTCATTCCACAGCCAGTACAAAAGCAAAAGAGAAAGAGCTGCCAATGTTAGCATCTGTTAATATTGGTTTGATTTGTAAAGTCTTCAAATATGGTAGGCTTGGAGATGAGAATGACAAAACAAACAAACATGGTATCACGAAGGCAGGTTTTCTTAGTTACAGAGGCAGAGGCGGTAGAGGAAAAAAAACATTGGTGCCAAAGTATGTCCATGCAAAATATTGTATTTTGTATTAAATGTAACTTTGCTATCTCCTCAGGTTTTAACCGTGCCCGCCGCCATGGTAACAGAGAGTCTCTCAAAAGGTAAGTGCCAAAATCAAAATAGACCCATAGTCTGATTTCTCTTTTCAGTCCCTACTTGTTGTCAGAGCTATTATCCTCCCCCACCCTCTTCTATCTTCAAGGGGCAATAACCTGCAAAGGTGGGATTCTCAAATCACTCCATGGGGGCCTATCTCTGTGCCCACTGAAGTCAGTGACAAGCTTTACCATCAGTTCAGCTACCCCAGGGAGACACCAGAACCTGTCAAGAACCTCATCTACATTAGGGCAGGTGCAGCTCAACCCGTGGGAATTTTCAAAAGTGACTCTTGAATTTGGAGGCCTCATTTTTGGGTACTCAACTGGAAACGCCTAGAAAGGGCCTGATTTTTCATACAGTGTTGAGGGTGAAAAAAAAACAGAGCCCTTTATGTCGTCTCAAGTTGGGCACCCAAAAATTAAGGCACCCCTCATTTATAGTCACTTTTGAAAATGTAGGCCTAAAATTCCCGCATGCAGATGAAGCCTTTGTCATACTCCAAATTTCTGAAATCACCCCAGTTATTTCAACAAACATTCCATTCTACCAATCCTGCAAAAGATTTTCAGCCATGCTGGATAAATCCCATTGGGTACAGAAGAGACAGATGGATTTTTGTGTCTCCAGGACAGTAATTGAAAGCTTTCTGCCTATTTTACAAAATGCTTCTGTCAAGGTCTTTGACAGAGTAAAAAAAGGTCATCATTTCAGCTGGGAATTTCTATTTGATGCCTGTATAATAGTGAGACCCAAACTAATAGATTTGCCAACAGCATTCGCAAGCCAGAGCAAGCTTAGATAACACAGCAAGAGCCAACTCCTGTGAAGAAATTCGTGCGTAGGCTTATCTTCCACTAATTATTGACAATACTGGTTTTCTATTCAGTGTCTTGAGCATTTATTTTCAAGCTGGAGTTGAGCAATCCATTGAGACACCAATGTGGCTGGAGACTGCGAAAGCTGGAGTTAAACACTAATGTCGTATAACATTAGTCGCGACAAGAATACATTATCCCCCTGAAGCTTCAGTAACATATTCATCAGACTTTCTAGTAAAAACTAAAATTAATGCTTTTGCTAAATGAAAAGGCAACTGAAGGGAGGAAAGTACTGATTTCACACTGTAAATTATACCGTTGATGAGTAAATCACTAAAAGGCTTTATGAAAGTGTATATCAATGGATGTAATCATTTTGCCAACATCAAGCTGCAACATTAAAATTTAGTTCTGCATAAACATGAAATGCATAAATAAAGCAAGTAAGGAAGGAAAAGGAGCTTAAATTAAGCGCAGAACTTTCCAACATATCATCATCCAAATAAAGTAAATTTCCCAGATCTCCTCCGTCATTCTCTTCTGCCCCATAATTTTGTTATAAATACATTTTTATTCCAGGGCTGTGACTAGTGCTATTTGGGGAAAATAGACCAAAATCTGATCTGACCCCACTGTAACTCCATTTACTGTAATACAGTCTTGATCTATACTGGTGCAAAGGAGCTCAAAAATAGATTCTGTGGACCAGATCCTCTGCTCCTGTAAATGGCAATAGCTCAATTGACTTTATTGAAGCTATAGTGAGTTAAATCAGTTGAAGAGCTGCTCCTGTGTGTTTAGGTGATGGATTATCTGCCATTTACCTGACCATTGTGTTGTTCCTGGGAATAGTATAATGGTGATTCATATATTTAATCAATGGAGCGTAGAACTTTTCCATACTCTGCCTTTTAAAACACAGTGTAAATTTAGGCTATTATGTGTTTTCTTACAATAATAGTTATAAAATCCTCATACTATACACCCCAACTGCTCGAATGCAAATAGTTCTATAGGGAATACAAAAATTGGATCGATGATATCCACTGTCTTTCCTTGGTTTCATTCCCTTCCTATCTTAACTACATATACACACCAAAACAACAAGGAGTCTGGTGGCACCTTAAAGACTAACAGATTTATTTGGGCATAAGCTTTC